ATGTTTGTTGGCCATTTGTATATCTTCCTTAGAGAAATGTCTATTTAGCTCTTTTGCCCATTTTTTAATTGGATTACTTGTTTTTTTCTTGTAATGTCAATTGATTTTTGACAAAGGTGCAAAGGCAAGGCTGAGAAGGATAGTCATTTTCACAAACGGTATGGGGAAAGCTGGACATCCTTATGTTAACAAATGAACCTCAGCCTATACCTCACATCTTACACAAAAATCAGCTCAAAATAATTGTATGCTAAAATGAAATGTAGGGCCGGCCCGGTGGTGCACTGGATAAGTGCGCCGCTTGGGGAGCGCGGCGGCGCTCCCGCCCGAGGGTTCGGATCCCACATACAGACCGGTTCCTGCTCACTGGCTGAGCGAGGCGTGGGAGCAGCACCGAGGGTTGCAATCCCGTTGCCGGTCCCCGGTCCGGTACGGGGGCAACACTGAGGGTTGCAATCCGTTGCTGGACACGGAAAAAGACAAAAAAATAATAAAATAAAATAAAAATAAAAAAAATAAAATAAAATGAAATGTAAAACTGTAGAGCTTTTAGAAGAAAACATAGGAGAAAATCTTACATAAAATAAAATAAAAATAAAAATAAAAAAATAAAATGAAATGTAAAACTGTAGAGCTTTTAGAAGAAAACATAGGAGAAAATCTTACAACTTTGGATTAAAGCAAAGACCTTTTACAGGTACAAAACCAAAAGCACAATTCATAAAAGACAAAACTGATTAATTAGATTTTATCAAAATTAAAGTATTTGCTCTGCGAAAGACACTGTTCAGAGAATGAAAAGACAAACTATAGACTATTAAGTTATTTGTAAATCATATATCCAACAAAAATCTTGTATCCTGAATATATAAAGAACACTCAAAATAAACCAAGAAATAAGCAACAATAAGAAACAAACAACCCTATAAGAACCCAAAAAGAAATTGGGCAAAACAGGTGTAAACAGGTACTTCACAAAAGAGATATGCAGATGGCAAATAAGCACATGAAAAGATGCTCAACAGCGTTGGTTATTAGAGAAATACAAAATTAAAACCAAAATGAGATACCAGTGCATACCTATTAGAATGGCCAAAATAAAAGTAATTTTGAAAACTGACAACACCAAGTGCTGACAAGGATGTGGAGCAACTAGAAACCTCATATATTGTTGGTGGGAATGTAAAATTGTAGAGCCACTCTGGAAAACAGTTTGGCAGTTTTTCATAAAGTTAACCATATGTTTGCCACAGGATTTATCAATCCTGCTCTTAGGTATTTACCCTATAAAAATGAAGTCTTATGCTCACCCAAAACCTCTATACAAATGTTTATGGTAGTGTTATTCATAATCAGCAAAACTGAAAACAACCCAATAGTCCTTCAATGGTTAAACAAATTATGGTACATCCATACAGTGGAGTACTACTCAGCAATAAAAAATGAATTATTGATACATAGAAGAACATAAATGAATTTCAAATACATTATACAAATTGAAGAAGCTTAATCTCAAAAGGAAACATAGTATATCATTCCATTTGTAAAACATCTGGAAAAGGTAAAACTGTTACAATGGAGAATAGATCAGTTGTTTAGGGATTTGGGGATTAGGAATGGAGGAGGGTTTGACTACACAGGGGAAGCACAAGGGAATTTTGGGGGGTCATGGAGTTGTTCCATGTTCTGATTATGTTGGTGGTGGTTACACAGATCTATACGTGAGTTAAAACTCATAGCACTGTATACGAACAAAAAGGAATTTACTACATGCAAATTAAAAATAAATTTTAAAAATATGCATCTAAGGACAAATGTACATAGGTGCAAAACAAGTTTTTTCAAAAGCAAAGGACGTAGAAAATTGGAGTTTATTCACATAAGTTTTTTCTTTGGTGAGCTGGAGGGCACTTTCTCTGGAAAGTGCTGCATAGGCTTTCATTTTATTTTCTACCGCTAATTTAATTTTATTTTTCATATGTTTCTCCAATCTTCTGAATACTTAAAATGATATACATATTTTATTTGGAGTTTGGCGAAAGTATAGAATTTTTTTCTTAAGCTTTTGTTTCCTTTTAAGAAATAATAAGAATAGGCAAATAATAACTATTTTACTGTGAGCGTTTTTAAGGTTTTAGAGCTTAGTTATCTCAAGCACCTGGATTTGTCATCCTGAGTAATGGTGTTTGAAACAAATGCACTTTTTATACAAACTAATACTTCTCACTTATTTTTCTGGGTTTTTTTTGTTTTTGTTTTTTAGACACAATGAAGCATATACATGGACAAATCCCACCTGCTGCGTGCATAACATCATCGTGGGTAAACTCTGGATTGAACAGTACGGCAATGTGGAAATAACAAACCACAAGTAAGACACTGCAGGGTACTTATCCATCATCCCTTCAGCTTTCACCCAAAAGTTCCAGTGGACTTCCTTCTTAAAAAAAAAAAACTCTTGTACAGTCTGATGAAAATTTAAGAATCAGGCAACATAACTCCTGAGTGAATAGAAGTCCATCCATTTAATGAGTAGAGTTCATTAAAGTTTCTAATTAAGGAAGACTTGGTGAACTCTCAGCTTCCCCAGCCTCTGTGAATCTTAATTCTAATCTCAGGGAGATGAGGTGGGGGAACACAGGGAGTTATAAGAAGAGTTGGGTTCCAATCCTACTTTGTGACCTTTAGGCAAGTCACTTATTCTTTATGAACTTCACATATCTTTTCCTTACGGTGGGTACAGTACTGGTTGAGGATTAATCCTGATAACTTCTGTACAGGGCCTGGCACGCATAGAACATCAGTAAACAGCAGCGGCTTCAAGAAAGCATATAGTGGTTGTTCTGCACTGCCTCTCAGTGTCGAGTGGTAATCTGAACTTCATATTTTCTTCATAGGACTGGGGACAAATGTGTGTTGAATTTTAAGCCGTGTGGCCTTTTTGGTAAGGAATTACACAAAGTTGAAGGCTACATTCAAGATAAAAGGTAAAGTTTCCATGTTAAATGTTGAATAGTTTAAGTATTGTTCACTAAATAAAATGTCGGCATTAAAATCTGCCATAACCTAGGAATAAGTATTCTAATAAGTTGATAAATCTTTCTTCTACAAGGAAATACCCTTCTTTAAAGAATCTGATTCATAAAGATCTTTATAATAATTTTGTATTACAGCTCATCTCATTTTTAGCTAAACATCAATTTCTCTTGACAGTAAAAAGAAGCTCTGTGCCCTCTATGGGAAGTGGACTGAATGTTTGTACAGTGTTGACCCCGCCACTTGTGACGCTTACAAAAGGAATGATAAGAAAAGTACCGAAGAGAAGAAGAACAGCAAACAGGTGAACCCCCATAAGGCGGTGTGGAAGGAATAATTGGCTCCTGAGTTTGTACTGATCCTTTTGGAGGTTGCCTGTTACTGGGTCACAGCTTGACCTTTCTTTTTTCTTACCGGCAACACATGTCATTTTTCTCCTTGCACCTTTTTAAAGAGCAGAGAGCTGCCTTGGCGGCACGTGTGACATGACCTTGTATAGGATGCGCACCACTCTTAAAACTAGGTGGTGGTTATATGAGGGGCTTTGATTTAAGTCCCACAGATTTGGAAAGTTGGGGTTTATCTTAGAGACATTTTCTTTCCTTCCTGTTTATGTCCGTTAGAAGTTGAGATCATTTGAGTATTCTAAATTTCCTTCAGAATTAACTTACATTTTCATGCTTATTATCAATATTGTTGCCCTATTCCTTATCACTGAGTTACTGAAGTTAAGACTCTCATAGTTAGTCCTCATCTTAACTAAACTTTCTTCTTTGTGGGACAGTTCATGTCCGCATAGAATTTTCATAGCTTCTTTTTACATGGCCCCAGGCAGATTCCCATCCCTTCCCTTCCCTTCAGGCAGAAATACCCGGAGCTAAAGAAAGATCGCACCTGTTTGGACAGGAAATATTTGTTTGAGGATTGATTTCTTTCCATTAACCAGTGTGACGATGAAGAGCACAGACTCTGGGTTAGACCCGGTCTCCACCATCTACGAGCAGTGCAAGCTCAGGCAGATTTCTCGCCTCTCTGCCTCAGTACCTTCACTTGTAAAATGGAGATAATAGTAGTACCTGCTAGTTAAATGAGTTACCAGATGTAAAGGGCTCAGAACAGTGTCCGCGCCTAGTAAAGACTAATACTCCTTTCTGCTCAAAGTCCACAAACTGGCAACTTAAGCATCATCTGACAGCTTGTTCAAAATGCAGCTGCCAGGCCTCACCTCGGACAGACTGAAGTGCAGTCTCTGGGGCTCTTCAGGTGTTTCTTATGCAAGCAAAAGTTTAAGAGGCCTTAATATTCCTCAAAAGCAGGTGTATTTATTAGTGACTTTTTGTGTAAGCTGAGTTAACCATGGTGCTGAGATGAAGAGTTTTGTTAAATGGCCAGAGCATACTGCTTTCCCGTTGCTTTGGCTTCTTTCTTTTTCCTTCAGCTGTACGTGCACAATTCTGCTTTCCTCCTTACACCCCATGTTCCCACCTGCTTTTCCCTCATTCTGTGAGGTGCACTGACTATTCTCTACACCTGTCAGGGAACTGGTTGGGCTGGAGAAGCCAATGTCCCAGGGTCCTGGGACCCCTGGCACAAACTCATCAGCTGCAGTTCCTGCCAATAGAGAAACTTCCACAGTTAACTTCACTATCCCATTTGGTGTCCAAGCCTTTTTTAGAGTGGGGACAGTGAAGGACATTGGTGAAATTCCAGAAAATATCCCTTATGTCCCATATGTCCTTGGTCAGTCTTTGTAGAAAAGTGGCCTTCCTCCTTGGAGAAGGTGTCTAGTCTCTCTCATTCCTTTGTGCATCTGCCTACCAGAGATTCCTGCTGTTCCGGATCGTATCCTAGTGCCACGGGAGCTTTTATCATCTGTGCTGCACTCTCCTTGTTAAGCTATATATTCACTGAAAGTGTCTCAACTAGTAGTTCTAGATTAACTGTGTGACATTGGGAATATTACTCAACCTTCCCAGGCCTTGAATTCTTTATGTATAAAACTGTGGTCCTAACATCTTCTCGTAGGTTTATTGCATGAAGACTGAATGTATAGATCACCTAGCATAGCTCTGGCCCATGGGGAAGTGTTAGTTTCCTTTTTAGTGTAGCATCTTGTTAAATTCTCTTTTTATCAAATGCATTCAGAATCTCTACTGGTTTTGTGTCACTGACAAATTTAGTTGCGTACCCCAATGTCACCTTTTGTTGTTCTCAGAAAGTTCCCTGTGTTATCTGTGCCTCTCCAGTGTGTAAGTTCCTTGACAGTCAGCCAGTTCCTGTACTTCTCTGGCATCCCAGTGCTGAACATTTAGAATTGTCCTCAATAAATACTCAGATGAGTTATTTTGTCTTTTAAAAAAAAAGAAGCTTTAAAAACATCAAACACTAGTAAAGAGTGGTGATGCTGGTCACATCTTGAATGCACATATGCTAAATGATACAACACACAAAGCTGTGATAAAAGTTAAGGATATAATATTTAGAAAGTCCTGGTGTCCCTGCCCTCATGCAGTTTATATTCTAATGATATGCAATAAATGATGGTTATTTTACAGTTTGTGTATGTGTGTATAAATATATATTTTTGAAATGTTTCACTTAAATTTTTTTCATCTGTTGGTTTTTCTAGATGAGCACTTCTGAGGAGTCCGATGAAATGCCAATGCCAGATTCCGAAAGTGTATTTGTTATTCCTGGAAGTGTTCTTCTATGGCGAATAGCCCCACGGCCTCCAAATTCTGCCCAGGTGAGTCTGGGCTTGCTGAAGCGGCCTCGCTGTTTATATTCAGTGTGGATGGCTCTCTTTCCTGGCCCATGTAGGGCCAATCCAGGCAGCACTGAGACCGAGGCAGGTTGTCATCAGTGCCACTCACTTGTCCCTTGCTGGCTTCTGCATTCCACTCTTCCTTCTCCCCTTGAGACCCCACACATTCCCATTGTGCATCCCTCTTTCTGGCTGGGAAGATGTGTTGGGTGGGACTTGGTTAGGGCTTTTCTAGTAATTACTTAGAGGTAAGACTGGCCCTAGTTAAATATAAGATGATGTAAACTATTCCATATAAGCCCTCCAGACCCAGCAAGGATTGATTGTAGTGAAGAAAAAAGAATGTTTATTTTGCTAATAGTTTACTTAAAGTTGATAGTGATAGAAGATATTTATTCTGTGTGGCCTGCTTTGAGATTTGAGACAAGTACCCACAGATGGTGCAGATTTAGGTGAAAACATCCAGATATGTGGTCTGAGAAAGCCTGACCATCATTACCATAAAAAGCAGGGGGTCATTGTCAAATCAGACCTTTTCTACATTCAGGGCTTTTCATTTTGCATTCTGCCTTGGTATGTTAATTTAATTATTTTCCTTCTTTTCAGATGTATAATTTTACTAGCTTTGCAATGATTTTGAATGAAGTAGACAAGGAAATGGAGAGTGTGATTCCTAAGACAGACTGCAGGTTACGGCCTGACATCAGAGCCATGGAAAATGGAGAAATAGGTAACCAGCATCTGTGGTGCTGCTGGGGGAGATTAGTTTCTCTGGGGATGATGGTTTGTTTTATTCCTGGTGATCATTAGCATCATTGCGGTACTAGCACTTTTAGTCTCTTTCAGAGATATTTGAATTAAAATTCAATTTAAATTCAATAACTTTTAAGTTTGGAAATCTGAGGTAGACCTTACTGGCTCATATTCATTATTTCAGTAATACTCCCTGATAATCTGATATACTTCATATGACCAAAGGCACATCATAACGTCAGAGGGTAATTTGAGAAAACAATAGCATCTTTATAAACATTAAACTGTATTCTGACTAATTACTTCACTATATATTTCAGAATTTACATATCATCTTGTGGGCCTCAAGAGTGTGGCCTCCCCTTGGTTAATTATAACGTTTATATCTCAAAGTGTTCAGTTTCTTCTAACTCGGTGGTTCTCAAAAGGAGGGCAGTATTCCCCCCAGGAGACATGTGGCAATGTCTGGAGATTTTGGTTGTCACACTTGGGCAGGTACTACTGGCACAAGTGACATCTAGAGGCAGGGAGGTGCTAAGCACCCTCCAATGCACAGGACAGCCTGTACAATAGAGTCATTCAATCCAGTATGTTAACAGTGCCATGGTTGAGAAGCCCTGTTCTAACTAAAGACTCTGATTCTCTTCAGTGAGACACAGCAACAGTATTTTGGAAAATTGTTTGAGCTTCTTATGAATGGAATCTGAAAGAGCTCTGTGCAGTGTCACTAAGAATTTAAAATAATTTCACATTTATTCAGTTTTTCCATCTAATTTTTTGTTGCAGCATCATAACGTAATTTTTTTTGGCCTTAAGAAGCAGCAGGTTCTTTTTGGTAAAATGCAGAGGTTATTAAGGGCATAGGCTGTCAAAGGAGATGACTGTTTTGAATGCCAGCTCTGCCTCTTACCAGCTTGGGTGTGTGCTAAAATTTTTACTTGATGTTTGACTGTGGTATTTGTGTTCCAGTAAAGTGAAGATAATACATATGGATGGTGCTGCTCCATAAAGTTACTGTCTTAGCACTGTGCCTGGCACACACTGCGTAAAGGACAAATGTTTTTCATTGATGTTCTTATTTTAGATCAAGCTAGTGAAGAAAAAAAACGACTTGAGGAAAAACAAAGAGCAGCCCGCAAAAACAGGTCCAGGTCAGAAGAGGACTGGAGGACGAGGTGGGTGCCTTCTTCAGCGTGCGGCTGAGCCTTTAGGCGGCTGTGCATGTGCGTGAGGCAGGGGTATTAGACACTGTGAGATGCAGAGCAAGTGCCTGCTGAACTTAAGCCCTGCCGAGTTGTTTCTAGGCCTGAGAGAAAAGCTGTTTCCACTGATTCTAAGTATTGAAGCTGAAAGAGGTGTGTGTGTGACAGAAAAAAACCCCAAATCTGACTACTGGAAAATTAAGGTTGAAATAGTCCCACACAATTATCACAGGTAAATGTCAACTAAGCAAACATTCTTTCTTATCCAGCAAACCCTGTCCTTCCTTATTTAAAACAGATGATCCAGAATTATGGATTTAGACATGAAAATAGGTTCAGAACCTTTTTGTTCAGATGTGAGGGGCCTTCGAAAAGTTCATGGAAATGAGTAATATCAAAAAATTATGGATTTCAAAAATTTTTGCACCAAAATAAACTCATACTGAGACTTATATGTCTGAACAGGATCTAGTTTGAGGCACTAAGAAGGATAAGATGTCAGTTTGAAAAGAGCCCCTGTCAAAGCAACATGAATTCTGCTGAAAATGAAGCAAAAACAAACATCAAATTTATGGTGAAGCTTGGGTGGGAGATTGACGAAATCATTGATGCTTACAAAAAGTTTATGAAGACAATACCCCAGAGAAATCAGTTTAGAAATGGATAACTTGTTTTAAGAAAGGACGAGACTATGCTGAAGATGAAACCTGCAGGGGCAGACCATCTACATTAATTTGCGAGGAAAAAATTAATCTTGTTCGTGCCCTAATTGAAAAGGACCAATGATTAACAGCAGAACCATAGCCAACACCGAAGACATGTCAATTGGTTCAGCTTACACAATTCTTACTGAAAAATTACAGTTGAGCAAACTTTCTGCTTGATGGGTGCTAAAACAGTTGTGCCCAAGTCAGCTGCAGACCTGAGTAGAGATTTCAATGGAAATTTTAAACAAGTGGCATGAAGATCCTGAAGCATTTCTTTGAACAGTTGTAACAGAAGATGACACATGGCTTTACCAGCTCAATCCTGAAGACAAAGCACAATCAAAGCCATGGCTACCCAGAGTAGAAGTCGTCCAGTCAAAGTAAAAGTGGACTGGTCGAGCTAAGGTCAAGGCAACAGTTTTTTCGGATGCTCGAGTCATTTTGCTTGTTGACTTTCTGGAGGACCAAAGAACAGTAACATCTGCTTATTATGAAAGTGTTTTGAGAAAGTAGCTGAAGCTTTAGCAGAAAAACACCTGGGAAGTCTTCACCGGAGAGTCCTTCTCCATGATGACAATCCTCCTCATTCCTCTCATCAAACAAGGGCAATTTTGTGAGACTTTTGATGGGAAATCATTAGGCATCCACCTTACAGTCCTGATTTGGCTCCTTTTGGCTTCCTTTTGTTTCCTAATCCTAAAAAAATCTTTAAAGGGCACCCATTTTTTCTTCAGTTAATCATGTCAATGCAGTCCTTTTTACATTATTAAATTTCCAGGACCATCAGTTCCTTACAGATGAACTAAATGGCTGGTATCATTGCTTACAAAAGTGTCTTGAACTTGTTGGAGCTTATGTTGAGAAGTAAAGGTTATATTTTTCATTTTTACCATTTAATTCCATTTTTCCACAAACTTTTTGACGTTCCCTCATATATGAGTAAATAATGCCATTTGCTCATACATATATATATATATCAGTGATATTTAGACGGTGCCTTTACTTTTCCAAACATAAGGGATTTTACATGTAAGGTATTTGTATCAAGTAACATCTTGGATTCCATTCAGAAATAGAAAGTGGGCAGTAAGATTTCTGTCACAGGATTTTTTTAGTATCAGGAGTTACATAGTAGTCACTTTGAGTAATAGAATCACTTGCAAATAGGAGTAGGATAAAAACATTTTCTACATTTGTATCATAAACGAAACCATTATCTCATAATTCAAAGTTATTAAATTAGGCATTATTATGTACGCATTTCAATAGATGTGATTTGTTAGCCCTTTTGCATCTTAAGAGGATAATTTTTAGAAGTAGAACTGATCTTAGTATCAGCTGGTCCAGTGGTTTTTGGCCTTTTTTGTTAGCATCAAAATCTTTTTTGCAAATGGTCTCGTGAAGAATCTACAAATAAAAAACCCATGCAAACAGAGCTGCTCTGGATGGAGGAGGGGTGAGGGGCAGGGCCTTGCCCACTCCTTGCCTTCTTATGCCCTGCACATACCCCAGGTCCCGAAAACTCTATGGAATACAGTTTGAAAACCTGTCATCTAGAAATCCCTTCTTTGTACCAAAGAAAACAAAATGGTGTATTTTATTTAGGAGACATGCTTAAGGCACACAACTGTTGAGATGGCTAGAACCTCCACCTTCAGTGATCCTCAAGTCAAAGTTACATTGCTTTACTGTGATCCTTTTGAAAAGATATATTTTACCATTCTTTACTGTGATACTTTTTGAAAAGATATACATTTTATCTTTCTGGTTAAATACCCTGTGATTTTAAACCATTTCCCCTGTAAATCTTGTCTTTTCTCTTTAAACAGATGGTTCCATCAAGGTCCTAATCCCTACAATGGAGCACAGGACTGGATTTACTCTGGCAGCTACTGGGACAGAAACTACTTCAATTTGCCTGACATTTATTAAAATGCAGACAAGTCAGGGTGTTTGGCTAATCTACAAATGTCTTAAACCTATGTTTTTAATTTTTTTTCCTTGATTTCTACTTACCTTTAAAAAAAAAAAAAAACCCTGCTCATGAGATAACTTGTATTTCATCCAATAGAATTAGGGCATAATAGAATAGGTGATATTGGTGATGAAAGTCTTAGGAAAGAATGCATAATTTTGCTATCCAAACATATTTGGAATACTATTTTATAGAGAGTAAGAAACTGCTGGAGAATATGCTTTTTGTGGTTGTTGCCATATTTACTGAAGGTTTATACCTATAACTTTAGCTTTATGGAATTATATAATCTCAAATCAAGTTATTTTGAATATTTTTATGATGGTCATGCTTGAATGTTTTAGATGTAACTTTGAAATGTTTAGAATTCTCCTATACAATGTTTATGTGCTCAAATGCAGAGGTTATGTCATTTTGTAAAGTATTGATAAGATGGCTATTATTCATAATAATCCTGTTTTATACCTTCCCTCCCTCCAAAAAGAAATGCTGATTTGAAAATTCTAAAAAATTAAACTGGAAAAGGTATTCATTTACTTTAGTGCTTTTACAGTTTTCTGTAATGTCATTAAAGTATGTTTAAATCCTACATTTGAACTGAAAATATGTATAATTAATCTAGCAATTCATAAAAATGTCCTAGAAAGAGATTTTAATCACCATCATTATTACATAATGACAAACCTTTTTAAATGCCTCAACTTCTAGTGGCAAATGCCAGAGAAATTACACTCGTGTATTATAAATATCAAACTATATAAAAGGAGGTCTTGTGCATTTCCAGTTTGCAAGATACTATGTACTTAAAATATGTATGGAGACCTACTGTACAGTAGCTTTGCCCCTTTAATTGGGGCACATTAATCTTATGGTATTTATCCACCCAAACCCCAAACTAAATATTGTTCCAAGGGGCCTTAGGTAGCTACCAGTAAATTATTTTAATTGCTGTCTTGAAGTTAACAAGTGTTATAATGAAATAATCTACCTGATGCTAAATAAAGGCATTAGAATGTTCCAAAAATGTGTGGTGTCTTTTAAATTTTCAAGTATGCTAATGTTGCTACTTAGTGTTTTCAAAGAAGTCCTTGTGGTGCGAAGTCCACAGGGCCAAATATCCAGCCACGTATCATGCACAGTGGCAAGTAGATAACATTCAATAATCTGAGTAAATACAGTATTATACAGAGGTGCTACCATATTAATTCACTGAATGCCAAATACAGAATTATAAAATAGGAATACTTGGCTAGATCTGTTAAGAGCAGGAATGATATAAAATATATATATACACACACACAAGTTAGAAAATGCTATCACTTCAACAGTGTGGAAAGATTTAAGGTCTTTGGTTTTATACCTCTGTAAAAATAATACAAGGTTTTATGCTTGCACAAAATTTATTGATTATGCTTGGTGGCAGACTCCACATCGAACGTTGACTCAAACAGCGTCATTTTCGGGATCTGTTAAGAATAATTGTTTAATCATGAAACAAGTGGAAGATCAAAAATGCAAGTTCTACCTTCCTGCTGTTACTAAGTCTCTTAACTAACCTGTACTTTTGCACTAAAATATCTTAGCATTTCATGCTGAAAACTGCCATTGTGGCAATTCCACTAGAAGTGTGAAGAGGGAATAAGAAATGTACATAGCGCTGATATTTTGAAAACCGTTGTCTTTCCTTAGTACCTGTGATACTTGAGCCTGCCTATGAATGAAATCCTTTTCTTGTTCATTTCTCTCAATGAAATCCATTTCTCATTTAGCTTAAAATTCCCACAAATTGTTTTACGTAACTGCACTCAATGTATGTGTATAACAAGTGTATCAGATATGTTAATGTGAAATAATCTACCTGATGCTAAATAAAGGCTTTAGTCTCCCTGCTTTCTCTGTTGACCTCCCCGACTTCTAGTCCAATTCCACATAGCAGCCAGAGGGATATAATAGAAACATGAATCTGATTCTGTCATTCTGCTTAACACGTTAGTGCTGGCTTTCCATTGAACTTTCCATCTAGATCTCTTTTGGTATGCAGGGGTCCCCTCTCACATCTCCAGCTTCATCTTACATGCTCTCCCCCGGCTCCTCCCAGCCAGTCTCATTTTGGCCAACTTGCAGTCTCTTTAACACTGTGCTCTTCGCAACGCTGGCTTCCTCTCCTACTAGTGTCAGTACCTTGTTTTCATTATACTTCATGTTGTACTTTGTCTCCCCGACTAAGGTGTAGGTTCCATGTTTTACTAACTATTGTCCACACATGGGTGAGGAAAGACTGGCATAGGGCTTGGCATTAAGTACTAGTGGAATAAAAAATTTTAAAAGGTTGAGTGATAACTCTTATCTACAGTTAATTCCAATTGTTACTTTAGCTCTTCAGTGTGTCCAACCTGTCCATATTACAGTCTCTTACCACTTGCATTGGGTGCTCCATATATGATCAGCGCTTCTTTTCTTGCTATCTGACTGTTCCCAGCTCTTGTCTCTGCTCCACCCCATTCCTTAAACATGCCAACTAGTTTTTTTTTTTTTTTTAGTAATCCATCCCCTTTTTAGCACCCACCAGTGTTAGACATAGGACCAGATATTCAAAACCAGTTGATTGGTTGATTCATTCATGTACTGGGCACCAGATCTCTGTTGTGAATCATTTGTGATATACAGTGCACCTGCTGTGCATTTATTAGTGGTGGAAGATAGAAACAATTACCACATCAAATTAGAGTATACCTCAACTCACTTATTTTTTTAATATCTCAATCTCGATGTCAGTAAACCAAAATGCTAAAAATTCAAGTATGTTAAGGCCCACATATTATGGTAGGAAAATTTACCTACCAGTTTTTGTTTCAGCTTTGCGAACATGGGCAGTAGTCACGGTAATTTCTCCAGCAATACCGTAACTTCCAAAGGGAGTACATTTATCACCAGATCCTGAACTTTTTTTGGCTACATCTTCTACTGGGAAAGCAACAGAAAGAAAAATGGGGCTTTGTGGTCTGGGGGCATCTTGTCCATTTGTAGGAGGACTACCATTCTGGGGATTTGGGCTATGTTTCTGGAATTTCTGATCTGCAGGAACAGCAATGGGTACTTGTACTGCAGCATATCTCTTCAAGGCACCTGACTGTGAAACAACAGCATGTCCAGGAAGAGGTTTCCATTCCTGTGCTTCCTGGACATTTGAGCCAACTAAAATAAAAGGTGGGGCACTGGTCTTGCCGTCGTCCATCATCACATAAGTTGGAGAAGTAACTTTCGGTGGATGCTGCAGAAACTGTGGATCCTTAGGATTAGATAAATAGAGGGTTGCTTGGGGGAAAGGCCCAGGTTCAGGTGGCGGTGATGGGCGACTTTGTTGATTCATATCAGTTAGACAATAAAGGGTCCACATGTTAGAATATGGTGGTGGTTGTCCTGCTGCGCTTGCTGCTATTGCTATAAAAAAACACAAAATTTGCAGTTTGGTCTCTGTATCAGGCGCTATGCACAGTAATATCTTTGTAAATCTTTTACATATAAACAAACAGCTGTAGTAATGTGTCATAAAGCATGCTATAGAGAGGACTAAATAAATTGTGTTTGGTAATGTGAAAGGAGAGAGATTCTCTACAGATGGAAAGTGAGAACAGTGTTGCTGTGACAGCAAGTGGCAGGGACACTACAGTTGTGGCTGAAGAAACAATCTCATTCAAAGTTGCTGTTTCCATGTACTTCAACTTTAGACATGGCTTGTACAGGGTCCTCTGCAAGAGGAAATGGACAACGAAACTTTTGGCTTTACCAAAAAATCAATTGAGAGTGTGTTAAGCCATTGAAAAAAAGCATTAATGCATCTGCATAGTGATTTTTTTTTTCTTTCCTAAAGAAATCAGCACTGGGTGTCACTTTGATCACATAATTAAATATCTCAGGCCATTCACAGGCACCATTTTCTCCCATTAATTTGTCACCACACATGAAGCATCACTCAGCACCCCAGAGAGCACCTCTCTTTTAGGCAAATCATAGGTCCTAGGTGGCAGTAAAAGGCTGGTTGGTCCCATGGGGGTTCTTTAGGGAAAAAGAGGTCTAGGAGTGCCATCCATCTACTTACACAAAGGAGTCTAATAATGCCAAGTGTGACTTGCCTAATGAAGACAGTACTGTCTTGGACAGCTGAGTCCTAGAGATGGGACGTAAGAGAAAAGGTTCCTGATTGAGGAATTTCACTTTGCCCAAATGTACTGAGTTCACCTTTGGATCACTGGATCATCTATCACTGGGGAAGCCTTTTTTCCTTCTCCAGAAAAGAAAATAACACTAAATAACACTATGCACATGACTAAGCTGTTTTCAATAGCTTCAGATACTTTGAATTGATCTTTCTTCAAGCATATAGAAATAAGTACAAGCCAAGTCTTCAGTTTTTTCAGAGGAAGAAAGAATTTGATACTCAATCTTGAGTTTTTCTGTTAATTATGCTCTTAGTGCCAAGACAACTCTATTTTCCTTAAGAAATAGTAAGCACTTGAAAACAGTGACTTGGTCAGGAAGTGCTGCTTAAGACACAAGTATAATGCCATTCCCACATGCTACACTCTCAACACTGCTCTCTGCCTCTTCAGTTGTACAGAATCCCTGTCACACTGCCAGACAGAATTTGATGTTTTCTAAATACCTGCTTTGGTAACATTTCTTTATCATTCTGGTTCTAGTAAGAGTTGAGAGAGTTTCTGCAAAAGGTATGGGGAGATTGGCTCATGCATGTTGCTTCCATCCCTAAAAAAGGGCCCCCACAGTTTTGCATAGGAGGCAGGAAGGTGGGAAGACCAAATGTAATAATTAGGTCAAGATGGAGGTCATATCATGTCTGTGCCACAGGAAAACACTGGTGGTAGTTCAGCTACCAAGAAAGCAGCTTGATGTGGGCACTTGTTAGGGGGAAATGACCCAAGGAAGCCAGTCATCCGAACTGCATCCACTGTTCAGGGGCCTGGCCATCCTTTCTGCTGCTGCTACCTCCCTGCTCCCCTGTGTTACAGAATTTTGACCTGACCTTTCTTCTCTCCATCCAGCTATGAAGCTGCTCCTCGGCTGCAGGAAGCTCCCAGCCAGGAAGTAAATGCTTGATCCAGCACCCCAATCCTGGTTGCAGAGCTCTCCTGACTCAGTGCAAAAGCAGAGTCAAACACACCACCATTTCTTTCACTTTTTAAATGCCACAGCCTATGCAAAGGCATTGCTATAGTTTGATTTTACATTTACAAGTGAGAAGTTTCAAACCAACACCCACTAATTACAGTTTTGCCATAGCTGTATTCAGATCACATAAATATGCTTTTTTGTACCTGACAACATACTCTAATGTTCACTACATAATATGCCCATAAGAGTAACACAAAAGTGCTAGATGATCAGATTTTGAGGCCAAGCTTTGGTGGTGTTACTTTAAAATCACTCATTTCATAATAGTAAGATCTCAAATGCAACAAATCCTTTAAATAGGTTTGGCATTTAAAAAACTATTGAATATAAAGACTTTGACTCATCTGCAAGGAGCCTACATAGACGGTTACCTGAAACACAGATGTCACCTGAAATGCAATTTGAAACTGTGTAAGTATCTAATTTTCTTACCTGGCTCCATCAAACCTTGGTCAGGTGCTGCGCTTCCCTTCTGGTTCGATTTCTGGTCCAGGAGGGAGGGGGCCACTAGATGATTTTACAGATGCACCAGAGAGCACAGGTCTGACCCCCATCTTGTGGGGTGCAGAGTTTTCCCTTGACTCCTCCTGCCCAGTATTGTCAGGGACTATCGAAATAATCTCCATCTCAAGGTGCAGAGATTTTTCAGAGCCTATTTTGATACTGCCCTTTGCATCCAGGGGTTGTGCAGGTACCTGAGGCTGACCTTGCAAAGAGGTGTCAGAGAGCAGAACTGTAGCTTCTGCCTCCATGTGTACTGAGGACTCACATTTTGCAGTCTTCTCCAACTGTACAAGTTTTTCAGAATCTACAGATATTTTAGATGGGCCTGACGTCTTGCTTACGGGTTTGGGACTAACTGGTGGTGACCACTCATTTTCTTTAAGACAAGCAACTTGATCAGTTAAAGGGATAAGTATTTGATCTGGCATTTGCTCAATATAAAAAACTCCTTCAGTCACAGGCTCATCATTATATATAGATGATATATGAAGGGTTGATGTAACCGCAATATCGGCCTGTAAAGGGACCTCAGGAGCTTGATCATGAGCAGGAGGTTCTTGTTCATCCTGCAAGGGGAATGAGGAAGCCGTTGATGGTTCAGCCTCATCGTCTTTAGGTTTAGAACCCATATCTACATGTAAAGATGTTTGGCTCACAACCTGCATTGCTATCACCTCTCCAGAATACACAAGAGGAACGACCACCTCGTTATCTTCAGCAGCCTCTGAACTCAGCACCTTCTTGGGAACAACAGGCATACTTGTTGCCACATCCACCATTAAAACGTCAGACTGATCAGAATGAATAGATGAAACTTTACCTAACATCTGAGCAGCAAACTGAGATGGGTCGGCTGGGACGTAGGCAAACTCTGGTGAGACAGCTGCTGGAAGTGGTGATGAGGGTGGGGTGCTGACCTTAGGTGTGGTTGGTTTGGAATTACCACAGACTGCTTCGGTTGTCTCCCCAGACTCTGGAAGCTCAGCATGAATTGACGGAAACTGAGTGGTTTTGTTACTAACTAGTGGTCCAGTTACATTGTCCTCCTCTGTGTCTGTAGATTTTTCTATCCGGGTAGGTTCTAGAGAAACTACAGATGTTCTTTCTGGTTCTTCTACACATTCTGGTTTCTTCTCTTGTACCGTTCCATCTGACCATTTCTCTACTAAAAATAACAGCCAGATGGGTTAATCAGCATCTATTCCCCAAAGAAAGAATTTTAAAGAAAACAATAGGTTGAGTATTCAAATTTCAATACACACACGAGTACAAGAGTTTTTTGCAACTGTCAATATACACACAAGTACAAAAGAGTATTCAAATGTCAATATACACACAATATCTGTGATTTAGTGTAATAAAACTTTCCTGTCCTTATCCATTCAAGACCCTCAGTACATTTCCTTAGAAGTAAGTGACTCTAAATAGCATTAGTGACAAAACTAATAATCAGATATTATCCTAAGTCAGTCAGCACCAGGGGAAAAATCGTAACTCTGTGCCTAGAAATAAAGAAGCTGGAAACCTCCACGGAAATAGCTCCTGATCCAAACTTCCACACAAAACTGGGGAAAAGAATAAATAAGTAAAAGACCAACTTGGGCAATAAATTATCTAATCTTCAACTGGTATAATAACAAGTTAGTAATGACACAGATGGTGTCATATTAATAAAAGCATTCCTCAATTTAAGAAAACTGGCATATAAAGTTTAACTTAATGAAATGGTAAACTAGGGGACTATAATAAGATTTTGGACATTAGGAAACGTCACATTATTCTAACCTAAAAATGCTAGCACCTGCTGGTGAGGTGTGATCATGTAGCCAAAGGCATCCTGACCCAGATGAGGAAAAGAAAGAGATCTCTGGATTTGAAAGTGGGGACTTCAGTCACGTCCTCTGCATGAGGACAATTTCTGTGGCTTGGAAGGTCAAGACAGCTGATGACATACAGAAAGTCCTAGATCTGGAAAACTGCTATAAAATTATTTTATGCCTGTCACCTACACACCTGTATTTCTCCTGGAGAAGCATTTCTATAACATCACAATCAAACCTGCAGGAAAAGTAGAATTTGCTTTACAAGAATGTGTTTGGTTTTAGTCAATACTCTGTTTGGAGATATGTTTTCATAGGTTCAGCTGCTTCCCAGAGTACAGTGTCCTGCAGTATCTCCCTCCACATTGGCTGATTCCTTGTAAATTCAATTAAGGGTCTAATTCTGGACATGCTCATGTGCAGAGAAAAGGTTAAAAAAGACAGAAAAGTCACATTTACTCTTCACCTCCCTCTGCTTAGAACAATAACTTCATTTTCCTAACCATTCACCTCTTCAGGACTTCCCCACCCACTTTTTTTAACAAAGCCCTTTTGAACACCTATACATGTGACTGTTTGTGCTATGTTTAAAACATTGTACTAGGCCCTGTTGAGGACAGAAAGATTATTAAGGTGAGACTTTATGTGGAGCTCTTGTAATACCTGCCTGTAATCCTGCCGACTGGGCCAATTGTCAAGCTAGGGCTGGGTCTGGAGCTCACCAACCCCTCAAGCCCATTCATAGACTGGGTCACAGGCCAGGCTGGGTCACCAGACCCCTTACACGCAAGCCTACGAGCTAAGTAACCAGCAAACAGGTCCTTGGAAGCCGCAGGTTGGAAAGCACAGCTGCCTGGAATGGCGTCCACCCAAGGCAGTCGCCAGCAAAACCGTGGCGCTGCGTGTGCGCACCAACTACACCCACACAACTTATTTGCTTACCAAAACAATGCGCCGCACCACCCGCAACTTGACCTAAGGCAAGACGACCTGGTTAAAGTATTCTATTTTCCCAGCACCTTATATAACGTACATTCGGTAGGGGAGAAGATAAGCCACAAAATCAGAACTTTTCTTGAGTTCATCAGAGAACTGAGGTCACAAGGTAACCAAGTAACCTGATTTCAAAAGAGGAACCACCCCTCCAAGGAAAGAAGGGACACAAGAACAGTTGCAGTCGTGGCAGGGCCTGGAAAGAAGAGGCCATCATACTAGCTGGTAAGAAGGTATCCGAATCTTAATGTACTGTAAAGGCCAAAAGTGGGCTAGGCTGTTGGTCTGGAATAGCCTGGGACTCCAGACCCAAAGGGAGTTCACTCTTGCTCTCAAGTACTTTCCACAGGCCTCACATGAAAGATGCAGGCAGGATAGAAGGCCAGAGAGAGGAATCCTATACCATCACCAAAAAGAGATCTCCTACTGTTGAGGCAGAGACACGAAACACTGGCCTAAGACCAACCACAGATAACAAAACAGTTTGGCAGGAATGCAGAGAAAGCCCCACCTCTGAGGCACAGGTTCACAGGGAACCTCCCACCCAGCCCACCAGTCCAGCACTGAGTAACGAGAGAGAGCAGGCTGCCACCAGGTGAGGGCAAGAGCATGGAGAGATGCCCTCTGTGGGGCAGGCTGGCAGGGAAGGCTGAGAAACACCTTGTGGCACCCCAGCCCATCCTCAGCACAAGGTCACGCAGCCCTCTGATAGGGGAATTTGAGGCCTGTGGTCTAGTGAAGGTAATGAGAGCAGCAACAAAAACCCAGCCCAACTCCTGACTAGACTGACCTCCTCACACCACAAGTCAAGGCCTCCCTAACTCTATTTGCTTCCCTTGTAAGGTCTGATTTACTCACCATGAGATATTCCAAGAACCCAACCAATCCAGGGATTGGACTGCAGTTTTCCTGCATGGGACCTATCTGATATGACTTAGACAACTCTGGAAAGTCCCACTTACTCTAAAAAGTGTCTCCCTCACAGGCTTGTTGTACCTGAAATTACACCTAGGATATTAATTATTAAATTACTTTAATTTTTTAAATACAAAAAGCTTAATTATTTTGTTTCTAGAAGTCCCCTATTAAAAAACGACCATTCTGGAAAGGTAAAGTATATGTAATTATGAATCATTAACAAGTATCAGGTAAGTTATTATATTGCTTTTTTTTTCTTTTTGGCAGCTGGTCAGTACAGAGATCAAATGGTAAAGTATATGTAATTATGAATCATTAACAAGTATCAGGTAAGTTATTATATTGCTTTTTCTTTTTGGCAGCTGGTCAGTACAGAGATCAAATCCTGGACCTTGGTGTTATCAGCACACTCTCTTACCAACTGAGCTGACCAGCCACCCCGATATTGCTTTCTTCCCTGCAACTTTTTTATAGTAAAAAAGTATATGAGAAGACGTAGGTTTCAGTCCTGCTTCTGTGATTTAATAGCTGCATGACCAAGTCAGTTGTTCTGAGCTTCAGCCACTTCATCTGTAAAATGGGGATAATAATTCTGATCTTATTGAATTTTTGTGAAGATTAAATGGAACAATGCATCTGAAAGTATTCTATAAACTATAAATCACATATAAATGGAAAAGGAATATATCAACACAGTTAAAAACAGAGTTTCAAAAATGTGATATCAAATGCAAAATTATAAACCTAAAATATCTTTAATTCAGCTTTGATTAAAATTAAATTGGCTATTTCCTAAACTAGGTGGTAAGATGCGGATGTTTTTTTCTTCTTTATATGTATACATGTGTGTATATATGCGTAGTTTGTGTGTATATATACACACACACGTATAGATGTCATATAAACTTTTAAATAGATATATTCCATAATTTTAAAAAATTGAGACCAAATATCTGAATCTTTTATAGTGCTTTTGAAAATACAAAGCACTAGGTTAACCATTTGGCTTTGCTTAGAGTACATGAGAGTATATTAGCAAATATATGCATGCTAGTTACCATACACATATCTAATGTAAATCTATATTGAGTTCCTGTCAGTATCTGTTTAAGAAAGGTATAGAGATTTCCTCTAATATTTTAAGGTCTTTTTTAGTAATCCTGATGATTGCTGACTTGTAACCTTGAGATTACGTTTGTTGTAGAAAACTATTTTTTAGAGTTGTAAACTAGGCTTGTTATAGGTTGATCTTATCAACCTTATGAAGATTAATCCACTCTAACTTCAGTGATCTAGTTCTACTTTAACAAAAAACAAAAAATTGCACAGACTTAGAATTAAGAACATAACTAAAGGCATTCCTTCTTGTAAAAAGTTCCCTTTTAAGTGTAATTAAGTGACTCAAACTGATTAACTTGAAAACTCATTGCAGAATCCTGATTTTCTGTGGAACCAACAAGATAAAGAGGTAAATTCCAAGCAAACAGTATTTCTTGGAACAGGCAGAACTCATGTGGAGACTTGGGGTGCTGCGGCATGCAACTGCCAGGGAAGCATAAGGAAAAGAGCATATACTGGCACCAAAAGGGAAATCTGAAAGATGTCAAATACCAGAAGAGAATAAGGAGCAGGGCATGACAGGAGAGGCTGTATAACAATTAGAGGTGGGGAACTCACAGTAGAGAGCTTGAAATCAAGAATTTGGAGTTTGTATGGTACATAGTCTTTAAGAGTTTAAAACAGAAGAGGATTCCAACTATTCTGTGTTGAACTGATTGAAATGAGAATATCAGAGACTATAAATTAAGGCAGGTGGTCTTTTTCTTTTCTCCTCTCCCCCCCCCCTTGCTTTCATTCATTCTTCATTCAACAAACATTAACTGCATTTACTTATGTGACAGACACTGAGGAATCAATGATTACTAAGACCTCCTAAAGAGTACAGTCTGATTAGGGATGGAGGCAGATAAACAGATGATTATGACAATGTGGTCAGTGCAGTGACTGAAATATGTATGAGTATGATGGCTTTCAGGTAGTTTTTGTTAAGCTTTGGGAATGAGGAACAGGTGCAAAAGAGATGGATTGCAGGAAGTGGAAAGCAAAAGATGGAATGGCCAGTTTTGGGGAAAACAACCATTAGGCATATCCTAGGTAACTTCTCCCACACCATGCCCCTTTGCCTTACTCTCCTCTTGGTTCTATAACCACCATCAAACTTATCTGGGCCAAACAGAACACTAAATAGTTTAGCATCTCTTTGCTTTATTTCTTCCCTCATCCTCCTTCAGGTCTATTTCTATTCCCTCCTTCTCCCCCTACCCTCTCATCACCACCACACACATTTTTACCCTAAACTCCTATCTCCTAATTAAAAAGCAGGTAGGTGGAGTAGCAGACATTCCTGTCCTTATTCTTTGCTAAGAGAAGCCTA